TAATTAGACAATTACTTTGGTTTTGGTTTTGGTTTTACTTCAGTTTGAGATTGGCTGAGTAGTCTAACTGGTAAGTAATTGGTTTGGTTTTGGTTTTCCGACACTCAATTGAAAACTGCTCTATTACTTGACAACAACATCCACAATAGCAAATATAGAAAATTTATGGTCTAGCAAAACAATAGCAAAAGAAAAAAAAAAAAAAAAAGAAGAAGAAGAAGAAAAGAAAAGAGGATAGTGCATACCTGTCCAACTTTTGCGGAAAACCATAAGGGATGTACGTGCATATTATTAGACTTTTTGCTACCAAAGATAAATTGATAACAGTGTCTGGTCTCAATGTTTTATGAGTAAGAAGATCGAGGGGGTGAAGTAAAATTAGTACTTACAGGCTGGCTTTCTTAAATTGGATTTAGTCTTCCGTAATTTTTGATTGAAAATGCTTTTCTTTTCCAAACGTGAGGGAATTCATTTTAATTCTAAAAGGATTTTAAAACAAGAGCGGACTGAGCAATAATAGGTTCCCGCAATTCCCATCGTCAAGCAGTTTAGTTGAGCGTCAACGTTACATGATGGCGGGCAGGTAAACTTCAATCAATCTTCACAATACAGTGTACATTTAAAATTTCATTGGAACTTACTTTATTTCCATTCATAGGCTTCAAAGTAATGGGTTGTGTGATAGACGAAAACGACCGTGTAAGAAGGTTGCTGTACAAGGGAATGGTTTCCTAAATTCTACCAATGTAACCTGCCACATTAAGGAAATTGAGGTAATGCTACATTCTTGGGTACTTAACTTGACGTTTTTGTGTTTTTTTTTTCCATATGGTAGACCTATACGCTTTATACTTTTACTTGGTATCGTCAAAAGTCACCATTAGTGGCCAATAATTTGGCTCAATTTATGAAAACAACGTTTTGCAGTAATGTTCTTTGTGATGAATTAAGACACCTGATAGAAACTATCGGGAAAAGTAACGCAGCCAACACTTACACCTACGTTCAGAGCTTTGACAATTATCTAACACAGACCATATTTTGCTACTTATGGAAGGTTGTAAATAGTTCCTGGATCCCAAACAAGAATGAGACAAAACACCAAGGAATGATGACAGACCTTGTTCTCGTGGAGTGCTTTTTGCCTGATTCACCTGTATTAAGAACAACCTATGATGAAAACGTGGAAGGAACACCAGCTTCTGGACTGTTGATATCTGTATCCAACAATGGCATCCATCAAAGCGAGCAGGAGCTTAAATTGATATCCTTCGATTCAGTTTGTATGGAATGCAATATTTCCACGGGATGCTCTCTGAAGGTAATCACCATGTTTCCTAAAGATCAATTTTCAGATGTACAAAATAGAATGCTTTAATCTCATTTGTTATCACCTTATAACCCGTTATATAACTCTCGTCATAACACAACAAGAAAAGTTTCCGAAATTTAAGGTAGCCATGTAGTAGTTTGCAGGAATGTCTTTTGGAAAATGTTGTATCTTAACATATGATCACAGTTTGACAACAAATTAGACTATCATTGAGCCTGTTTTTAGGTTTCAATCAATTACAGCTAACATTTGAGGTCCTTTGACAGGCCATACTGTTTCCATGATAACCTTTTATATCCAAAAAATAGGCATTACTTGCTCATCAAAGATTGAGCACTTCTTCAGATACCTATATTATAGCAGCAAGTGTTATATCATTGTAGTATGAATCCATCAAAGTATAACTGCTAAAAATGATTAAATCATAGCCAGTCATCTTAAACCAGTTTCTTTTATACTCAACCGTGAATTTAATCAAAATTCTGAGTAGGAGGGATTTTGAACATTTTATTCTATTTTTGCTAGAGAGAGGTACAAGTATGAATTGTAATCCGTGCAGCCTTTTCCTTTTCTTGACAATGTTGCATGCCAAAATACAAGTAAAAGATCCTTAATTTAGATGTTTAGGGTGGTTTACAATCAGCTGCGTACAAGTCATTTGGTCGGTGTTGTGGTTTTTTTCAGAAGGGTAACCACCTGCACTCAGAAATTCCGAGGTCTATTAATAGGAGTCGAGTCGAGTCGGAGGCTCTACTATCGAGCTACAGAGGGGCTCGTGTGGTAGCTGTGCCACACTAACTAAGTTCTAACCAACTAAGTTCACGTCACTTCTCTCTCAAAGGATAAAGTAACAGTTTGAAATAAAATGCTCAAAACCTTAGTAAATGTTCACGAATCTGACGATCAAGAATGTAGTGATTTCTTTGGGCTGAAAACTTAATAATATATATTTTTATTTTAGAATAACTCCTGCTTTATCAATCGTTATTGCTTTTCGCCTAACGAGCCTAATCCAAAGGACTGGTGCGAACAGTGCCTCCCCGATGTCGATAAAAACAAGTGGTCTGAACGGCAAGGTAATATTGACAAGTTAAAACACTCACAAAGTGTAGGTAATTGACCTTTATCGCATGGTAAATGTTTGGTTGATACCAATTATTTCTCAGTGCCCTCAAGTATTCTCATGGTTTTGAACCATTTAAAAAAGAAATAATGAATCTAACCAATCAATCAGTCAATCAACGGACTGAGTGACCTGATCAGTCATTCAATCAGTGAGTCGATTAATACAGCGTAAGTACTAATATGCCACCACCCGGTATGTCACATCACATCAAGTTAGAAAGCTCTTGATTTAGCCAAACGTTTTAAAATCTAGCGAAACACTAAATAAAGCAGCGTTGTTGGTCACGTTTAGCATCTCCTCTAAGGGGAAATTTCTGTAATATTAAATCTGCCGGAAAAGCAAGTTTTAACGGCATTTTCCATCGGAATCCCACATAACCGATCAAGAATAGGTACTAATAGGCGACGGGTAGAGTATTGTTAAGGTTTTTTTCGTAAGCCTCACAATGCATTATAACTCATTCTTTTAGTAAATCACCTACCCAGTGTCACGTCAACAACCGACTACTATGTGGTACACGGAGAGAGTCTGGAACTACCAATAGAAGTCACAGATCCGGAAGGAATGCCTGTCACCGTGTCAATAATGGACGGAAGTCCGGCGGAAGCGCTGGTGCAGAACAATATTTTATTTTGGAACGTCACAACTAACAAAACAACACAGTTTTTCTTCAAGGCCACGGATGCTTGTCAAGCGTCGGCCACCTTAAACATATCTGTAACTGTCAATGTCTGCCCTTGCAATAACAATGGACGGTGCATTCCTCGGACGCCTCGCGGGCGTGGTTTTTACGATTGTAGCTGCTCACCCGGTTTTACTGGACAATACTGCAGCACTGAGATTGATGAATGTGAATCATATCCTTGTTTGCGAGGTACGCGACAGGAAATTAATTTCTATGTCTCGCATTTTATTCACCAATGTTGTTTCGTGACAGTCAGTTACATGGAATATTATTTATTGGTTGTTGTTGTTTTTTTGTTAGTTTATTCAGCTTTCTTTTCTTTTGTTTTCATTATTATTTTTTGTTCACCAGCAATTATTATGATTAAATTAATCGCTACATTTTTGACTCGTTGTTGGAAGGTCAAGGGTGATCGCAACAAATGTTTGACTTATGTTTGAAATATTTGTCAACCTAAAATTCAGTCAAACACTTCATAGCAAAACGTAGTAACCCCTTACTTGGTTAGTTAAAATGATTTATAAGATAATCAAGCAAAGACGTTTGTCGCAAGGTAAAGTATGTATGCAGTAAGCGGACATTGGTCAACTGACTCTCGTATCGTGCTCTCTTTGTGGGAAGCCATGTTAACAATACTCCTTCAATGCTAGTGCATTTATCATGGCACAAGATTTTGTTTTTGAATCTATATCAATAATAGATTTATGGATGAGTATGTTAATAAACTAATTAATTGAAAATAATTTACTTGTTTAACTCTTCCAGGACAGTGTATTGATCAAGTTAACAACTACACATGTGTCTGCGATCTTGGCTTTGAGGGTAGAAATTGTGACGTTGACATCGATTATTGCCAGTCATCGCCATGTGTCCATGGTAGAGTCTTAAACAATTTTGACAGTTAATTAATCATTGAATGACCAATTTATGTGGTGGTAAATAAGGGAGTTAAACCTTGGCAAGTTGCCTGAAATAATTCCATATCGAAGGAAAAGGGGTGAACCGAAAATCGATCAAGTTGTTGTTGTTGTTGTTGTTGTTTTTCTTTGGTTCTTCTGACATCACACAAGTTTTGCCATTCATAACTTTTTTATCCCATACATCTTTTCACTTAACAATAACGTCCTCTAACCAATAGCATTTCCTCCCATAGGAAATTGTACAGATCAAGTTAATGGATACACTTGCAGCTGTGTCGCTGGTTACTCTGGACTACGGTGCGACGTTGACATAGACGAGTGTAGTTCGTCGCCTTGTGTTAATAACGGTGACCAATTTAATCCATTCTTCACTTTACTTCATTCGTTTTATTCCTTTCTCTCTGCGCTATTAAGGAAAAATCATAACTACAGTATGGGCTGCATTACCCAAGCTCGTTTACTGGGCACTAATAAAAACAGACACCGTGATATGGAGTAAAATGTCTGGGGGCAAAGGCCCAAAGTCGATTTTATGAAGAAATAATTTCTTTTTATTTATTTATATATTAAAAGTATGAGTCTAAAGAAACTCATATCGAGCCCAGTAAAGGTGAGGGCACAAACTGCCAAAGCAGAATGATGACGATCATGATGCCGATTTAATCCATTTTTCACTTTACTTCATTCGTTTTATTCCAGTTTATTAGTTTCTACGTTCCTTAAAATATTAATTGACTAAAACACCGTAAAGGTACCAATGCCTTCAAAGGAAAGAAGATTTTTGCCAGGAGATTAAGAACACTAACAGATTAATACTCGGTCCTATAAATAGTAATTCCACCCACCCCCCCCTTTCCCCCACTTCTTGGGCCACATCTATCCACCGAACAAATACCCAAGGGAAACAAAACACAGCTATCAGTGAATGGAGCAAAACGCTGGAACATTCATTATGGCTTTATGCTATCTAAGCCATCACTTCAGTATTTTCTACGATGCCAGCAACAAAAGGCCTTTTCTTTTCAAAGGAACGTGCGTCGATCAAGTAAATGGCTATAGATGTCAGTGCCTACCTGGTTATACAGAAGAAGACTGCAGTGTTGATATTAACGGATGTCAGGCTTCGCCTTGTGCAAACAACGGCAATGTTGTCTTTGTCTTCCATGACTTTGTTGTTCTAACCTTCGGCCTTCATGATTAGAACTGTGACTGAAAAAAAAAAAAAAAGAAAACACGAAACAAAACAAAGGGCCCTGACTTTGAATTTGTTCTTTTTTATGATTTCCCAAAATGTTCAATTGACGTAGATCGATTGGCCCTTTTATTCCAAAATATACCAGTAAGAAAGAGGAAGAGATGTTAAAAAATTGAACCGCAGTTTGTCAAGGTGATTCCCTTGAAATAGATATTCATTTAATTTATATATTTTTCTCTGCTTTTAGTTACATTAGTAACTAATTTTTCTTAATATGTATTTTTTGTTTATCGGTGTGATCATTTTTTCACTAGGATCCTGCGTTGATAAAATCAATGCCTTTGATTGTACTTGCCTAGCTGGATTCAGTGGCTCTCTATGCGAAGAGAATATCAACGAATGTCTTCTAGTATCCTGTGGAAATGGTTGGTTAAAACTTAATTACAAACTATCATTTGGTTAATTCACTGATCGTAAACTTTACATTAAGTTACATTAGTCAACCACTAACATAACTGGAAAAAAGAATCGGGCGATTGCGATTTAAAAAGCATGTACATTCGTTAATGGTTCATAATTTATATTCCTTTCCCACCCCACCTCACGTCAAGGTCTGCATGCGGCAGGTAATTGAGAGCACTGTTCTGCTTAAATACAGCAGCAGCACCAACTACAAAAACATTGTTACTGTAGCAACGTTTATAATAATAAAATAGGAGAACTGGTCTCTCATGTCACCAGCACAGCAGAGTTATACGTTATCAGTGAATTCCTTATTAACTTTAAACTGATCTTTTTTATATTTTCAATGCTAATAGTTAAGCTTACGTTATTTAAACTTGGTTGATTTATCGGGGACACTACACAGCGCGCGGTAACAGTTCCATACCTATTACCAATTCCATAAACAGTGATAATCTAAAGGAATGCCAACGACTTAAGAGCAAATGAACGGACAGACATATTTTTCCATGTTTTTAAACAGGGACGTGTTTTGATCAAGTGAACAATTACAGTTGCGTTTGCAATGTTGGTTATTCGGGCGGACACTGTGATGTTCCCATTACGCGATGTAGCAATGAAACTTGCTACCCAGGTGTACGCTGTTTCGAGAACACCACTCACGTTTCCTGCGGTTCTTGTCCGTCTGGTTTTACTGGCAACGGAAAAAACTGCAAAGGTAAAGTTTACGCAAAGGTATTGTTTACTACCATCTAACAAAAATGGTTGTCGTGTTGACATTTGGTACCTTTTCGAGGGGCAAAAAATTAAAAAAAAAAAAATTAAGAAACGCACTATTAAAAGTCTACATTTATTCCTCTTCTTTTGTCAGATATAGACGACTGTGTAAATCACACTTGCGCTAACGGTGGATCATGTGTGGATGGCATTAACAATTACACATGCAGCTGTTTGGCGGGATTTACTGGAATTTTGTGTAATATAGGTACGTTGGACCTTGGGAAATTGGTCGATGCCGTGTAAAAACAATGCACTTTCCTTCTCACTTGTCCATCTTATCTTTCCAA